GTGACTGTGTGAGTCCCATGTAACACTTCTTTCTATTTATGGCTGTGGAGCTGCCTTTCTTTTAATGGGATGGTTGGGAGGCCCTTCTTGCCCTTCTCTTAGTCTTTCTAAATATGCTGTGTATACTTATACAGCTGTTAAAAAGGGCTTCTCTTCTTGGGTCCTGTGGAAAGAATAATATAATCCACTTGTAGTGATTTTCATCATTTAGCACTTGCTTACCTTTTTTCAGGGTTCATTAAATTAAGGGCAGCAAGAAACCAAATTTGACTCTAACCCAGTTAAAGAGCACAAACCTAACTGATATCTATCCACTGATAATTTAGTAGGGGAGTCTAGATCTCTGGTTGAGAAGTGTCCTCCAGTGCTTGCAACATTATGGTTTTGTGACTGAAGAAACAAAGGGGAGGATATTAAACTTTGCGATTTCCTCTGTTTTGTGGTAGTTGGCACAAAACTGAGGAATGGAGGCTGGTGTTTGCCAGAGAGTCTTGCTTTAAACAGTCAAATCCAAGAATGTTTCACTGATCTTTTTCTGTAGGAGAAAGTTATTTCTTTAATAATGGTCTGTGGACATTGTATGTGGTACTCCATCTGCTATAAACAGAGTTCTGCTCAGTTTGAGAAAGAAAAAACAGGTAAGATTGTGTGAGGAAGGAGGAAAGTTTTTGGGGAATGTGGCTTTTGATGATTCACTTGGTCATGCTGCATTACTAATTATTAAGGCCTCCCATTCAGAATTCTCTAGAGCTGTGCCGCCTTCTGCTTTGGTTGTAAAGAAATACAGGTTTGGAATTAGCCTTTTTGTAGAGTTTCCTTGGTGAGCCTGGCAAAGCCAGTGCCTCATGTCTGGTATTTCATGTTTCTTTTGAATCTCATTAATGACATTTGTCTTGCTGCTTACAAACAGAATCTAAACATAGTATGGACTTTCCAGGGAGAGTAGGACTGCTTACACATCCAGCAAATACAGAAAAAGTTCAGGTATCAGTAGATACCTTGTTTGCTTCTGGTACTTCAGAAAGAGAGAAGTTTGTACATGTGAAAATGGAGGAGTTATCCAGGTGACAGCATCAGGAGCAGATCTCATGAAAATGGAGGAGTTATTCAGAAGGTGACAGCATCACTAGCAGATCTCCACTAAGGTGGGCTACAGTTGAACCCATCATTGTACCTTATATTTTTCTTGTTGCTTTTGCATTACGTATCATGCCTGTTGCATTACACATGCCTGGAGATGCACTCAGGACTCTGCTGTCCCAAATATTTTATTAAAACATAATGAAGAAGTCTGTGCTGTAAGGTTATTTTTTCCCCTTAAAGCTGATGAGAGTAGAAGAAAGAAGATACAGGTCATAGAAAAGATCATAGAATAGTTATGGTTGGAAAGGACCTTAAGATCATCAAGTTCCAGCCCCCTTGCCATGTCAGGGACACCTCACACTAAACCATGTCACCCAAGGCTCTGTCCAACCTGTCTTTGAACACCGCCAGGGATGGAGCATTCACAACTTCCTTGGGCAACCCATTCCAGTGCCTCACCACACTTACAGTAAAGAACTTCGTCCTTATATCCAGTCTAAATGTCCCCTGTTTAAGTTTTAACCCGTTACCCCTTGTCTTATCACTACAGTCACTAATGAAGGGTCCCTCCCCAACCAATAGTTCAAGAGGATCAAAGTACGAGTGCGTAGCTAATTTTGGAGGGACAGTGAAGAGTCAAGACTATCCACAACTATTACTTGTTTCGCATGACATGCAGCAGATTCCTACACTATGCAACCTTCCTATTTTCACTGTTTCTGCTATCAGTATTTTAAAAAATTAATTAACTTTAGTTCTCGTATGATAGCTTATTCCACAAACTTCTTCCTTTTCAGTATCTGCTACAGCTTTATTTGGGTCAAAAGTTTCCACTGAGGTATAACAGAGTTTGGTATTTTTTTTAAACAGATGCTTATATTGCTGTTAGCTTACATAGATGCATTAAAAAAAACATACTCTAGAATTCTTGGCTCCCAACATGGTTCGCTGTATAAGGGCTTAACTACTTAAACATTCAAGGTGCAAGCATGAGGTAACAAGGTGTAAACAGAATCTTATTTAACTCTCATAACCTGTCAGTCTTAGAAGAAAATTCTAATTTTCCACAGTTTAAAAATTATTCATGTGCAAATTCTGCCATGCCAAGGTATTAGTAAACTTCATACTCACAGTTCAGTTTATCCACGACAGCAGCCTGGGCTCAGGACATTTGCAGTAGTGTTGGTTCTTCATCAAACTATTTGGGATAACGACCTTTCTTTTGTGGGTGTTTCACAAGCGAGCAATGGTTTTCACAGGATTCTAAGACATCACTTGATGTGGTGGCACAGTGAATATGATTTTGCTGTTGATGTTTAGCATGGCAAATGCTGGGAAGTTTTATGTTCAGAATAATGAATAGAGTATTGTTTGACAGTGGATTTATTGTCAGATGTGAACTGACATTCAAATCATTCAGTGGAACACTTCTAAAGCTGCAAAATATAAATTCTGTGGGTTTATGAGGAAGCTTGTATTTGTAAGAGGTAATATTTGGGAACCTTTTTCTTGGAATAACCAGTTTGCATTCAGGGCAAATGTCCCTTGCACATCCTCCCTTACCTCTAGCTCCACTCACCGTGTTCAGGGTTAATGACATTGAGTGGATTTGCTGCTGAACTGTTCCTCAGGTGCCTCTCTGCACTCACATCACACTTGTTCCTGCTTCCCTGGTCTTCTATCCTACCCAGATAATAAGTGACAGGGCTTAGTAAAATCAGAGGAGGGATAAGGTATTCCAGGTGTCCCGTTTGTGTGCTGAGCCAATTCACAGTCTGCTGATGATAATCCTTTGTGCAGTTGTGGTCACAAGCATGTTCACAGTGTGGTTCATTAGAGGAAGGAGGAGTCTTCCGATATGTGTTCCCTCTGGGACATCTTGATGAATACGCTGTGTGTATGACATGTAGCCTCTCTCTCATCTCTTCCAGGTCTGCTTGTTTGGTTTGTTTTTTTTTTTTTTACTGGTCTTTTCTCTCCCATCTCTTTTTGTACTCTTTCTGTCAGTGCCTCCCCAAGATGCAAAACCTTCTTTCTTCTGGCCACAGTGAGCTGAACTTCAGTAGCATCAGGGAGGGCGTTTGGCATCCCAGCAACTGGGGACTATGTTTCTGTTACATTATCTTTGTATCTCAGGGTGGCACCGGAAAACTGGCTTTTTGAGTGCCTTTGCAGAGTAGAGTGTGCTGTTCAGGTTTGTTAGTGTTCCTTCTGGTTTCCTCCCCCTATGTGTATTCCTTCCCTTAATCCACTGCTTTCTTTTTGTGTTCCATGTTCCCCACAGATACGTTCTTTTTCTTCCTCTTGGCTGTTTGCTGTCTTCCCCTTCCTTGGTGCATGGAAGAGAAACTACTGAGTTTTGTTAGCAGTAGCCATAAGCTTGTTTTTACAGTAAGGACATGGAATGCATCCAGGGCATGCCTTGTGGACTGGATTAGCTGTGCAGTTTGCTGTATTATTTTCTTGCAGGGGAATCAGTTTAATGTTAATTTAGAAATGGTATAGTCTCATTTGCGATCTAAACCAGCTGAATTGCTTGGAGAGTATCACTTGAGATGTTTGCTTCCTCTGTAGGATAATTCTTCTGCTAATGTGCCCTTTTGTGGATGATTGTCTTCATGTCTCATCAGTCTGGAGAGGCTTGTTTTTAGTGCTGTGTGCTCTCTGGAGAGTTTATTTTTAAATAGTTACTCAAGCAACAATCTTCTAAAATGCTGCAGTGTTAGGAGAGAAGGAATGAAAATGTTCGGTTATCCTCTAAAAGGGTAGATCAAAAAAGGAGTATTTGTCAGTTATATTCTCTAAGGCTAGCTGAAAATATTGGTGAAACTGTGTTCTAGAAGATGTTCACTTCATAATTTTGTTCTTCAGAACTCTTCTACTCTAGTGTAAATTGTGGAAATTTTCAAACTGAAGTATTGTCAAACCCAAATACTTTATTTCAGGAACTGCTGTGCACTATCCTTCGTTCTCTGCTCTAAAAAGGTGACTTATTTTCACCTGTGATAAATTCTGCCATCTTAAGATAGACTGCATCTTGTAACTTTAGCTGTCATGGAGCAGCAAGTAATTTTGCTATTACACAAGCAAAATAACTATTTTTTTGAGAAGCATTGTGTAAGTTGTCTTTCTTTGTGCCAAGAACCCGGGGACTTTACTGTTTACCCTCTGCCAGGAAATTTCAAAGAAAATGTTTTTGAAGAGGTGAGGTATCCTTGTTGTGTTGTACTCCTGCAGCATCATAGTGGTTCTGCTTTATATAATTTTCTTGCTTAGTCTAAAGCCTTCAGATGAGTTGTGTCAGTACAACAATTACATGTGATGAAGTTATTGTATTCATTTGAAATCATGTCAGTGATGTCACTGATTAATTGGATGATTAATCAAATGTTGCAGAATGTCACCTCCAAATATAAAGGGTTGTCTTTTCCAAGTCCTCATTCCTTTGCTGCTCTATTCCTGTACTCTTCTGCTGTTACAAAAGGCCCTTTGTTTTTCATTTGACTGTTAAAATATGCTTACTTTATGCTTCATCAAACTCTCAATGAGCTCAGGGTTTATAATATCAAAATTCTGGATCTCCAAGGGTCAGAGAAGCTAACAGATTTCATAAAGCTACAGGGAACAACCAACATACAGGAAAACATCCCAGGCAGTCAGTGTTTTTTTGATGGTAGAGAAAAAAGGTGGTGAATTCTTTATTATGCATTCATAACTTAAAGGCATGATGATTTCTCACAGTCATCTTCTGCTGGTGAATTCAGCTATTTGGCATGTTATTTTGGTTGTAGAGTTTTAAGAAAGTAAGGAATTACAGAAACATGAAGTATAACAAATCTGAAAGAGGAGGTAGTGAAAAGAGAGGAAAGGACGAAATGGCTGAGTAGGTTCAAGACTTGACCCAGCAGGTCTGGTGCACACCAGCTGATCTTTCCCTATTGATGTCACAGCAGAGGTGGATCTTGAAGAGAAGACTCTGAAATGGACTGGGAGTAAAGTGCTGTAATGTTAACACAATAAATTAAGATGAGTTTTGATTTCTTCTGTTGGATTTGAGGATGTGTTACCTTACAGTGCTGTGCTAATTACAGCAATTCAGGAAATGATTCACAAGAGTGGGTAGCTGAGCATGGTCCTTCTAACAGCTGTCTTAGCTTCAGCTGGCTTGACTTATTTACTACAATTGTGCTTCATTTGCCTCAATGGCAATTGCGTATGCTCAGTTTTAATTCCTGGGCTGGAGCCCTCTGACACCTGACAGAAGAATGGGATTTGACTTCAGCCTGTCCATGAAATCAGACACTTTGGCTTGTATTTAGAAAAGTTTCTTTGCAGTGAAATGGGCTAGAAGGTGTTTTCAGTGCTGTAAATTAAATGTTAGGCAGTGTAACACGATCATGACATTTAGTGCTGTTACACTGTCTATTGCACAATTTTACTGGGGTTTACTGCTTGTTTCATCATGTAGCCTCCAGTATGGAGACAACTTCCTTAATAAGTATCAGGGAACCTGAGGACGAGTAGATTCTGTGATCCTGCTCTCAAATGAAGTAATGACTTAATATATATATATTTTTTGCTTATAAAAAACTCTATTCTCGTGTTTCCCTAAGTAGAAATGCAAAATGCATTAGCATTCCCATTTGACAGGGTAGCTCCTGCTGTGCAAAATACAAGTTGCTGTGATGTGTTGGAGTTTATGCCACAGTTCTACACAGCAAACCCATGCAGTTGTCTATGGAGTTTCAGTTATGCCAGCAAAATCTTTAGGTGGCAAGAACAAGGTCATGGATGTGTGATTAACTTGCATACAGCAGTCCTTGCTGTGGAAAGGAATGCTTGGCAGGCATTAACTTTTTATAACCTGGTAATATTTAGGTGCTGCAGAAAAATTCATTCTGTGAAGGTCTTGAAAATGGTGGAGGCACAAACATTAACCACCCTCTTCTGCTCTGGGTTCAAAGGGGCTTTTCTTTAGAGGTGGAGGGAGGAAGAACATGATGGGCTGACCAGGCTTTTGATAAGCATGTTCTAATCTGTGACAGCTAACAAGAGCAGTGAAACTGAGCAGCAGCCAGTTGCTGGGCTGTGTCCTCACCTGCAGGATGGAGTTACTGTATCTTAGGGTGGCTGTGGGAGGCCAGTGGTGGAAATGAGCTATGACCTTGTGTCCCAGGCAAAGCCCTGACCATAAGTAGTTAAAACATGGAGAGGAATGAACTGAGGTCAGCATCACAAATAATATGTTCAGTAAATAATTTTCTTTGTATACTGGCTCCGTTTTTTCACTCATTATTTGCTCCACTTATTCTTTTACCTCCTACACACACACACATGTGCGTGTGTGTGTGTGCATACACAATTTTTCTGGCTGCTTTATTCCATCTTGCCCTAGTTATCACCTTCCCATGTCCACTTGCCACTGTGACCCACCTTCTGGGTAAGGCGCTGTAGATGATAGGTTTACTGTGAAACCACCCTCAGTGTGGGGTGGACACCTATGCTCAGTTTAGAAGAAGCAAGGCTGTTTTCCAGCTGCTCCTTCCTGCGAGTCTGTTTGCTCTGAGCACTGCAGTGGCTATACAGAGTGCAGCACAGGGGAGGCAGAACGCTGTTCAGCCATTCACAGGATTAAGAGCTGTTGCCCACCTTTTTTTCCCATTGGTGGCAGGCTGTGAGCTTCTGGGTGAGTGAACATCAGGTACGTGGCATGCCTTATTCTAAGGTTGGTGGGGAAATCCATTAAGCAGTCATGCTGTTACTGAGAATTTGGGTAAATGTAGGACAAAGCAATGGTTAATGCTAGAGTCTGCAAGGCATAGCAGGCTTTGATGCTAGTGCTTGGACATGATGCTATGAAAAGAGAAAAAGCTATTAAGGGTCCTGTATCTGAGGATTCACAAAAACCAGCTGGAGGAAAAAATAGGGTTTTGGGGGTTGGGTGACCTTGAATGTCTGCTCCAGTGGAACAATCCACATGTGACTGGTATTTAGGAAAATATTTTCTGGAAGGCTTTTCTATTGGTGGGGGAGGGTGGGGAGCATGTTAAATGTCCTGCATCTATTCAGAGATCCAGTCTGAATTTTTTCAATGAAAAATTCATTTCAATAATAGCTGCTACTTGTCACCTTCATATGCGATCTTGTAAATGCTTCTATCCCCCAGCTCCTGAAAGATGCACTGAATCTCCTTTTGTGGGTATTAAATTGACTTTAAAAAGCCTCACAGAATGAAACAGATGCTTAGCAGACTACTGTAGCATGGCAACTATTGAGAAGACAGACCATGCATAATCATAAATATATACTTTTAGGTGTGTGGGGGTTTTGGCTCTGCACCAGCTCTACAGGCCAGTAACTCTTGCTTGCTTTTGGAGCCTCTCTATTCCTTCCCTTTCCCTTAGGGCACTGTTGTCCACTTCATTCTTCTGAAATTTTTATGCTTTCCATTGTGTTTTCTTAAACAAAAAGGCAGCTCTAGAAACAAACAAAATTCCTTTCTTGTTTGACTTCTGCTTTTCACTTATAAAAATGATTTTCCTTTCCCTGGCATGGCAGCATTATTAAAACCAGGACTTTTCTCAGCTAAGCTCTGTTACTGCAGAGCCAGTGGGGTAAAGTAAATAGAGTGCTTGCTATGAGAGTTGTGTTTTCTCCCCTTGGTTTAAATATTGATGATAGCAGAGTTACAATACTTTGAAGATACTAAATCAAGACAACTGTTCATTGTTCTTAAAAGCAGACTTTAGAGCTTTCCTATAGCTATATTGTTCAGTGAAGTGCATTCCTTTTCAGTAAATAGGCTTTACAGCTCCAGGTTCTTCAGATCTGAAATAATAGAAGCAATCATTAAAACTAAATACAAAAGGAAAACAATTCCAAAGGGAATGTTTTTAGGAGTGTCTTGGGCAGTGCCCCTACCTCCAGCTGCTCTGTTTTTGTGTTGTTTTTTTTTATCCTGGGGGTGCTGTGTCCTCTTGTCACACAGCACAGCTGTCTGGATGTGCATAAAGAGTCTGATCGGAAAAGTGATCTGTGTTTAAAAATAACCTTGTTGGAATACAACATAGTGAACCTGGTTGGGTTTACTGTATGGTCCCACAACTGTTGTGATGGCATGCATAGGCAGGTGGGGGTGGTTTGGTGGTGAAGTGAGGATAAGGCTGCTCTCAGTGCTATACTTTGTAGAGGGGTAAGCGAATGATAAAAGTTTTTGCTTGATGATGTTGTGTTGGGGTGGACTTAGTTGATACCTGTGGAGAGAAGGGAGGAATGTTTTCAGGAAGTGTTAAAAGGCTGTAGCTTCTATGAAAGAAAAAGGTATCAAATGCAAGTTAATAAAGGAGAGCAGATACAGTTAGTGGTTAGATGAGGTGCCATAAAATCACTATTTCTGTTTAATCATCATTATTTTTCTGGTGTAGGGTTTTGGTGCCTAGGCTTGTGTTCTGACAATGTTCTGTGTCTTTAGGGACCCAGCTGAGAGACGGAAGGAGCAGCACTTCTGAGAGAAAGTAGTTGTTCTGTTACCTGGTATCTGCTTTCCCTCTTAGCTCATCGAACTTCTTCAGGTGTGCTTTTGCACTTGTCAACATGGTCACTTCTGTCTGTATCAGCTGGGTTTCTAATTAAAAAATCACTTCTTCCTGTACATGGCCTCATAATATTTGTACTAGCAAAATATATGCTACTTATCCATTCTTGATGACTACTGAATATCTGAAAAACTTGAGGCTTCTAATAACTGAAGCAATGGCTGCATTGCCCTGCTGATTGGCCATTAGGAGCAGCTTAGGAAAAAGTTGGAACATGGAACAGCTGTGTTGATTTGTTCTTTTTTTGGTAAAGCTGGTTTGCAGCTGGATATTTAAAGTACCTATATGTGTTACGCTGGATGATTCAAGCCATGTAGTTCCCCTTTTATTCCTCCAAAGGGCTTTTCACTGATTCAGAAAGGCACCTTTTACTACTATGTGGCCTTGGGGTGGTGTTTTCACATAAAAATAAGTAGGGGTGGACCATATGTCAGGCCTTGTTTATGAAGGGATTGGATGGAATGGGCTTAAACCCTCAGTGTACTCTGGGAGTGATGGGAGGTGACTTGTCTCACTTGTCCTGGCTTTCTGGAATGGAGTTTCTTGCCTCTGCAGAGAGACTTGAAATAAGATGCCCTGCCTGCTCTGTGAATGAGGAGTGCAAACCAGGCAAAGTCAGTGTCGCCTTAAAAATAAATGCTGGTGAAACATCAGGGGCCCTATCCTCACTGTGTCTCAGTGTTACTCAGTTATACAAACCTACAAGAGAAATTGAAAGGAAGTAAACCTGGAAAAGGACCTAGCTGTCTTCCCTGTTTCACAGAACTTCCGTAGGAACCAGGGTGGAGTATGCAGAGGAATGATACTGATAGTTGCTTTCTCCTGTACTTTGCCCTCTAGTTTAGATAGGCACTTGCAGCACTGTAGGATTTCTGTCTGTGGTCTGTTCCTATCTAGGAAAGCAGCGCTGCCTTTTAAACTGCTGAAAATACAATTGATCTAACACTGCACTGGAGTTCTTTCATCTCAAGGTGTTCTGGCCTTTTACAAAAGCAATAAAAGCATGCCTTCAGCTTTTGAAGGGAGATAAATGAAATGCAGCCTTATTGTCTTGTAGTTGACCTTCATAAGCTTAGGCATAGCTAGGATGATAATCTAGGTCTCTTCCTGTTCCTGGGATCAGTACGTTAAGAGGACACTTTTCACTATCTTGCAGATGGTGATATATGTGTTTGTGGGCATGAATAGCAACTAATGAATATTTATGCATATACTAATGAAGCCCTAAGTCTGTTTTTACATATGCACACGGGTATGGATTTGCAAGATACTGGGGTGGGTGTGAATAGATGCAGGCCTGGGAAAATTGTGATATCTTGTAACTGTGCCACTTGGCACATACAGTGTATACAAAGGCATACTTACAGAACAGTATTAAAAAGCAAATATTCCTACCTTCTCTTCCCTTCCCAAGAGCCATGAACCCTAGGGGTTCTTTTTAAGCATAACTACCACTTGCTGAACGTCTTAATGCAATCCTCGTGCTTCCTGTGACTTTGTGAATGGGAACTGCTGTTGTTTAACACTGTTTACATCCCTAAGAGGGCAAGCTGAGTGCTCCTACAGGTGAGAAAGTGAATGGTGTTAAAGTGAACCTCACAATAGTTGATATTCTCTGCAATGTAAAATTTATGTGGCTGGTGGTGAAGTGGCAGTTTCATTGGAGTGCGTGTTGAGAGTTATTTCTTGGGAGGGATGTATGCATCAAGTTCAGACTGTGACAGAAGTGTCCCTTCCCCCTGTGCTTGCTGTTCTTGAGATCAGTGATTCATAGTTACATTGCAGAATATGATCTGCTGGAAGTTGGTATTTAGTTACAAGAATGCTTCTGAAATTAATAGTATCATATAATTTGCCTAGCTACAGTGTTATTGAAGCCTCTCTTAACACTTGAAGTATTTCTGAAATTTCCATCATACCTGATGGTCCCCACGATCCACTTCTGTTTCTTTAATGAAATTATACTGTAGCCAAAACTTCAGTATTTAAATCTGAAATATTTCTGTTGTTGCAACTATCATTCCGATTTAAATGTTGAAAGAGTGCTGATTCACAGGAGGGGAACACAGGGTTATTTATTAGCTAGTCCCTTCTGTAATTTTAGTATAATGCTAGTTTGGGCAGCATTCATACCTGCTGGTTTCTTAAGTTGTCTTATTACAACAGGTGAAAAAACCTGACGGGCAGAACTCAATGGATGAACAGTTTCATACAGTGGAAACTAGCGAATTAATAGGCAATCCAATGATAGGAGTTTCAGACTTCAACAGAATTGGAGTTGATAACTGAGGATCAATATGCACACACTAACCCATATTGCAGTATGTAGCATTCTGCTTCTGGTATGAGACAGTGTGTGCTACATCTAGTTATGAGGTTTCCCAGGGGATAGATTTCCTCCCTTGAAATCACTATGCCCTTGGGTATCATTTTTTAATATCAGGCACTGTGATTGCAGATGCTTTCTTCCCTGTTTGTTCTTGTGTGCCTTTTGATTGTGGTCACACTGAATTACTTGATTGCAAACTGACTTAAGGAAATAACGTCCACAAGTTGTTAGGTAGCATCTTGGAAATCTTTCTCCGTGTGCTTCAAGTTAACTGATAGGAAAGAGGGAGTTCAGTTTGTCAGGGCTAATATGTAGAATCTCACAGAACTCTTTCTGCTCCTGCTTCACATATTAATAGGAGTGAAATATCAGAGTAACAAAAAAAAAAAGAAATTGGTACTACTGCCTTCAGAAGGGAAGTAGGCAGAACAGCTTTACATGGCTTCTGTCATCTTAAGTCAGCTTATTCACTATAGTAAGCCTGACGTGTATTTTTATCATACTTTTGAAAGACTCCAGCTTTTTATGACTGTAGCACTTCCGACTGAGAGGGGGAGGTTTTCCTGTGTGTGTAGAAGTGTTCACTTCTGGTTTTGTAGAAGGATAATTAGTGAACGATTCCTAGACCAGTACTGGCACTGGTGATGAGGCATGAAAGGAAGTCAACACAACCCCTAGACTGGTCGCTGTGTTTTCTTATTTTACATAGGAGCATAAGGGGCAAATATGAGAATGTGCAGTTAGCTGAAGGAAGCTATGGTGGCTTTTTTTTGGCTC